CTAAATCTTTTTTGTGGTTTCTGTATATTTGTCTTCCTGTTTAGTTCACACTACAAGCAGTTCTAAAGGGAAATAAACCAGATTATCATCTTGCAATGGGTGGTGAACAGAGTAAGGCTTTTTATGGAGACTTTCTTCAAGCAATGAAATCGGCCTACAAACCCGATGCCATTAAAGGTGATCATTGTAATTAGAGATTCGTAAGTGGTGAAGGAACAAGAATAGATTTTACGTAAATCTGAGCAACTTGTGAGACTTTCATAGTCTGAAGGAGACTTTAAAATAGTGTAGAACGGTGGTAAAATACCCTAGAGGCAGTGATAGATCTTAGAAGGTGCAATGAGAGGTAAAAACTGACTGCGCGGGAAGACGAAGTTGAAAACATTTTGAGCGCTTACGGGGTGACGAAGATCTGTTTGACAAATTTTAAACCAATCAGCACTGGTCATGTTTCGAAAGCAGCCAATCGCAATGGGCCTTGTCGTTCGCTCACCGCAAGGGCGGGAAAGTTACTAAAGATTGATTTTGTGAGGGAGAAGTGCTGTGGAAAGAGTTTGCTAATTACGCAGCGAATGATACTAAATAAACGTTTCACTGTTTGTCCCATAGATGTGCATGTGAAGTGAATTTAAAGTAATTGAGTAAACACACAAATATTTTCTTAAATTTTCTATCTCTTTCTTATGCTTCTGTCTCAGACGGAAAATTTGGAGCGTACATGCAAGTTCAAATTCAGAATGATGGTCCAGTTACAATATCCTTAGAAACGCCACCGCCAAAACCAATGCAACAAAAACAGGTTTGCTTTTTTAAATTCGATCCTCATTATTCTTTTTAGTTTTTGGTCTCTTCCCTTTTCTTCTTCGTTTCTTGGTTTTTTCTGACCCTGGATGCCAAAGGCGTCTTTGTGCGCTCGACAGCATTTTGATAGGCGCCATATCAGTCCTAGCTCACGAGCAGGCCCTGATTATAAATGCTTCGGCCGAGCGTTCTTCGCTCGCGTGAAATTTGAGGCCTTGAATAGGTCTAAGCGACGAGAGCCGGCGAGAGATCTGGGTCTAGCACTTATATTGAGTGCCAGGCTCACGGAAAATCTCTTCCGTCTTAAAATCTTCCCACAGGAAGAGAAACGAGTGTTCTGCAGCGATGATACTGAAGGCCTACGCGAATCAGATCCTCGCTGCTCCTCGGGTAACCGCTTTTCCTGAACACAAGCAGGTTTTCAAGCTTTGTAACCCCATAGTTTTGGTCGATATTTTGTTCCAATCAAGCCTATACTGCCACCTACTCGTTGCGTTTGCCTCCGGATCCCTCGAAATACTCTTTTGCGGGCGCGAAAAATCGTCTAGTTCCTTTTGGTAACTTTCTCAGCAAAGCTTCAGCAAAAAACGACTGCGAACAACTCATATTTTCCATCGTGCTTCTATTCTATTTCTAGACAAAAAAAAGCATTGTCTTCCGAATAAATCGAAGGAGCATCCTTTTTCTCTAAAACTGATTTCATAAAACTGTTGCATGTCATTCGTTATTTTTTCTTCAGGTCAAAGGAACTTCAGGTGCCTCAAAATCAGCTCCCATAACTGGGGATGAGGGTTCTACGAACAGTTTACCCGATTCAGAAAATCACAGTTCGCCAATCGATGCTGAACAAAAAATAGACAAATTTGACGATCTCAACCTGGACGAAAAACGAGGAAGTACGTGACGCTGGGTCAATTCCAAACCACAACTGAAAATCTTGTATCTTATCATGAAGCCACAGATTTGCTTTACATTTGTTCGGCATAAATGTTTTCAGTGTTAAACGTCTAATATTTCAGTACAAATTGTGTGTTTATGTACTTTACTGTACAAAAAAAATACAGATGTTGTCATTGTAGTGCCCAGATTTTCGTTTTCAAAGGTAGCTGTTGCAAATGGGTCGTATCCTTTTTCGTTTTCCGTTAGGATATCCTCATATATATGTTACATAGGTAATACTGCTGTCCTTGTTTTTAGAATTGCCCAGTTGGAACGAAAGTACCATATTACCTAAGGTCCTTGCTTACACCTCACCCCACCCTTCGTGCGTAAAAATATCAATTCGGAACTTCTCTTGTCATGGTTGCATGCATAATGCTTTGCGAACAGATACACAGTAGTTTTGGTTCGGTTCGGTTTGGTTTGGTGTGATTTGGCTTGGTTTTTGTGAGCCAGGTAGCGTTTCGAAACATAATGTACTTGAATTTGAAAGCTTGTGTTCGTTTCCTTTAAGACGAATAGATTTAGGTGCTGCGACTCAATATCCCCTTGGAATACCGGAATTCTAGTAGTTAAAATGTAAAAAGGTGATGGAGAGGTATATTTTACTCACCGGTCCTTTTGTACCGGAAGTAAACGTTGGTCTTTAATTTTCTTGTCTGTTTTTGTTTTTGTCTTTTTCAGAGGGGGGGGGGGGATAGGTATCAATTCAAAACCTATTCTATAATTTTGCGAAACGCTTATTAGTTTCCTTGTAATAGGTTTTAATCAAAGAAATATACGCTGTAGGTATATTTACTTGTTGGATCAAGGTTTGGCCCTCAGTGAGTTTTCAATAAGTTCCATCCTTTGTAACAACTTCTCCGGCCGAAAGCCTTGTGGCAAATTAATTTTCATATTTTGCTTTTGCTTTTTTTTTTTTCTTTTCTGTTGTTGTTATTTATTAACGGGGCGTTCCAAACTAGTGTCTATCCACTCACCCTGTCCCCCTTTCCTCAAGCCGCCCATTTGCTCACGCGATTTAGGGATCATTAAAGGTGATCCCTTCTTTTCTTGTGACACCGGCAAGAAAGTGGGTCTTTCATATGCAGGGCAACTAGGTCTGATAAATGAAACTTCCCTTAACAGAACTTTATAGGAAGTCGGCTGTTTAAGTTATCATGACTCCCTTGATGGAATTGAACCCTCGGCTGTGAAAGCGCATTGTTCGTGAGTGATTTCAACAAGCGATCTGGCGAACTTAAATTTCCATTTTGAAGGCCAAAAAAGGAAAAAAACGAAAACAAACAAACAAATAGACAATTAGACAAACAAAAAAGTGCATGAGCAAAGAAACAAACCAGGAAAGCAAAAAAACAAAAATTCGATCAGACCAGAGCAAGAAAGCAAGAAACAAATCCGAAAGAAGGAAAGAATTTAGGCCTAGGGCTGATTATTTACACGACGCGGTTTTTACGTAAGTAGTGGGCCTTAGGGATTCTACGTAAGAGAGTTGATTTAATTAAATACATGTTCTTCCACTGTTTCCTTTCGGTCATCTTGACACAACCCACAAAAATAAATTTTCAGACCGATAAAAGTTTCGGCTAAATTGAAGATGACATAGAACGCGGTTTTGTTAAAAATAAATAAATAAATAAACAAATAAATAAAAAAGAAGGAAAACGGCGAAACCGGCCCTCAAGTAACCGTCATGCAACACGTCCTCTGTCCCCCATCAGAACTCGCATGCGTCACGGCTTGGGAGGATACTAGCCCAAAACAGACGGATTAGTGTTACGAGGTTTGCCCTTCTTGAACTTAGCTTCATACTTCTGTCACATACGAAAACGAAACAAAATCCAACTCTCATCAGTGGAGGTCGCATGAGAAAGATCATCAACCACCCTTCCGAAAAAGTCAAAAATAGGACGCCGCGTGACGTCAGAACGTTCTCTCCCAAGGCATTCAGGGTCCAGGCGCAGACCCTTAACTCTGGAAATCAAATAGCTTGTAAGGCAGATGCCTTCCTTGCTTAGAATAGGCGTATGATACAATTAGTCTGAAGCGTTTCGCCATCTTCCCGCTCCACTAATTACTAGATAACCTCTTTCTAAAAAGCGCGTTCACCAAGTGGTAAAATAATATATCATCTAAATTGCTCGAGTGTCAAGAATTAATGTAAATTAAAACGAGTGTGGACATTACTTACGTATTTACAAGTGTTTAATAGACGAAGTCTCACTCTTCGGCTTATAATTACTAGCGTCACTAGCACTTGAGAACTGTAGCAAGCGTTAATTCGAAAGCGTGTCATTCTGATATTGGGCGCAAACACGCGTTTTCTTCTGGTAACACATGCCCCTGCACTCTCGTTGAGTGAATTAACATCCGCTTATCTGATCTGTAAATGTTTTGCGTATTTACACGCTCAAAAAGGGCAGAATAGCAGGAAATCACTGACCAAATGTGTGACCCTCGGCGCATATGAAGTTTTCGTATCAGGAACGCACACATCACGTAGCCCGGTATAATGACTTGACAGGTCGACTTTAAGAAGTGCTCCTCAAAATGAAAAAAACCAAATTCGGCTCTGAAAACCGTTGATGTGACTTTAACGAGGACAATTAATTTCAAGCTAATTACTACCTCTTTCGTATAGTTCACTTCTTTCTTTCCATTCAGTCCCATTTTTCATTTCCCATTTACGTCAACAAGGTCCATGATAACAAAATATTGAGTTAGCATTTATCATCACAGACTATCAAATACATGCTGAGCATCTACAAGATAGATCTCCCTAAAGACTCTACGAGAAGTAAATATTAGATGAAAAATTGCCAAAGTTCGTTTCCGTATCGAAAACCTGTCGGCCTCGTCGCAAAGATCTCCACGGAATTGTTGTTCGCCAATCAGCAAATTCACATGCAAATCCAACACGTGATAATTTTCCATGCTTGACTGCTCCTGAATACCACGAGAAATTAACATACATACAGACATGTGGACAGAAAATATATGACTTTATAAATATGATTCAAGAGCGGCTGGTTACCCGTTAGCGTAGATTTTCGGCCGAAGTTTCGGAAACTCGAGAGAAAGCTATTTCGAGGCAGTGAGAAGAGGATTTATACGCGTCAGACGTCGCAGAAGTGGGTTGGCGAAATTTTCCTGGAGAAAATATGAAAGGCCGTGAGTAAATAGCCATTGTTAACAACTTAGCAGTCCAATCCCACATCATTTTAAAAATCTATTATTCTGCTACACTTATCAATGCATTGCCCGGTTCCCATTAATTTCTTCATTCTCGACATTTGCTTGAAATGACGTTCTCGAACGCTTTTCGCTTCAAATTTTTACCAAGCGAAGTGTTGAAAATTTCGTGACTTGCCAGTTCTGAGCGTCTGTTGTCTAGCTCGGTACGAAACAAATACTTGGTTCTTACCTCGAAACAAAGCTCTTCTTCTTCTGGATCTAGTGTTCGATCCACCGGGTTTTCAGATGTCCTTCTTTATTCCAAAAGCACCGCTAAAATATATTCTATGATTGTGGAAAATATTTTTCCTTCTCATTTCCGGTCAATTTCTTATCGAACGAGCAGGAAAGGAAATTTTCAGAAACTCTCAATTTCCAAGCTTCTTTATTCAAAAATTCCATCAAATAAGGCATCTCGTTTTTTCAGATGAGTTTACAGGCGTTTTATTGTTTGATTTCTTTCACAAGACATCCTCTAATTATGAATTATTCAATAGTGTATATGTTCTCGGAGTTCCTTAGATAGTATTTCGACGATTGCTAGGAAATAAAAATCGCTAACTTGATATATATATATTGTCACGCTCTAACCAAATCTTGTTAAATCTGTGCAGACGACAAAGTGACCGAAAACTACAGCCCGCGATAAACTCTGTCAGACAGAAATTAAAAGCCATGTGGTTGATTTGTGGCGCTAGGCAACTGGTACACCAGAAGGAGACATGATCTAATCACCAGAGTCACTCATCGAGATATAAAAACTAAAATAAAATATTGTTATTTCGGATAGTAATCCTATAACCAATGATGCTAACTTGACGAAAGTTAAAGAACCGTTGTACGATTTTTTCATTGGCTCTACCCTTTGTTACTGTGTATCAAATCAAGATTTTAATTTGTTTTCTTTTGGACAGATAAAAGGGAAAATGGAAATGGACATTCTTACAAAGGTAACGCATTCTTATATAATTTATTTGTATTGTCATGAATACATTATCATATGTTAGTATGAAAACACATCACGTGATTTTGTCCTGTTAACGTCGGCTTCGCTTCGTCTTTCGTCTTTGAAAAGTGGGAAAACCTCTTAATATTTCTTTTAATTTCCATGCGTTTCGTCTCTTGAGGTAGTAAGAGGCGGAAAACAACTTAATTAAGTACACTGAAGTGATTTAAAGCATTTAGACGATTTCAATGGCTTCGGAGACTCGAACTTCAATCATGGCACATTCGAGAGTGGATGGGAAGAAAGGAGAAGAGAAAGACACTGACAACAACCAACACGTGTCTAAGATAGAAAGCGATAGTGACGGGGAATACCACGGTTAGAGAATCAAAACCACAATGTCCTTCTCGGGAGAAGTGCAACTTCTTCCTGGAAATCGTAAACACTTATGGATTGTTCTTAAATGTTTGTTTTCGCAGAGCCGGGGATGAGAGTCGGTGAGGAGTACCAAGCCTCCATACCAGAGCTCGTTACCGAGAGTAAGTTTCCTGTGTTTACGTTAAATGAAGATGGACATTTCTTGCTGTGAAAGGCGAAAAATGATTCAATTAAGAAGTTGTTTAACTGATAGAGGGCCTGATAGAGATATTCTTTAAAATCTGAAAGATTTTTACTTCACCGGCCCGCTGACTTGTAATTGCACAAATTCTGACTTAACTTTGATGGTTTCTTTCGTTAATTTTTTGAACTTTTTGATGTATTTTCCACCGCATTTCAACGCATTTATGACTTACGTATTTTTTTCTTTAACTTTGCATCGATCTGATTATGTGCAACTTGTTTTAGCTAATTAAAACTCGGAACTTAAATAGGGATTTCGCGTTACTATGTC